ACTCGACGAGTCCATGTGATAATTCATCATACTCTTCGAGTAGGTTCTTGCACTCGACGAGTAGGAACCCCTGAATGCAGATTTCGAGTTTTGTTTGCTGCTGGAAATGACTAGAAACATTACCCAAAACTATTTTGGTGTTTTAAAACTTGTTTTAGTGGTGTTGTAATGCTTATGCTAATCCATTTACAATGGCTAATATCAAAATTCCATGTTTTATATGTGTTAATATGATTCTTGAAATTTTGATATGAATGTTCATGTTCTTATGAGTTATGGTTAGATCATAGGAATTATTTGTTGAATTGTTTGATGATTGATTCTTGATCTTAATGTCTAATGATGGAGTCCATAACTTGTCCTCAAGTTATGGATAACCAAAAGTCACTTCTTTAAAATTGTTATTAAAGAATAAGAGGTTACATAAAGTGAAGAGTCTTCACTTTAATGGACCATTAAACTCATAAGTTATGAAATGAAAAGTCTTGAATAGTTTCAATACTTGCCATCAAGTTTGGAATTTGTAAAGTCTCACACATTAATACTTTAAATTCCAAATTGAACCTTAGTTTTTTAAAAGTTTAAAATTCAACCCTTATACTTCTATAATATTAAAAGTTTAATTATTATATATATGTATAAGAATAAGTCGGTCTTACCGTTAGTAGGCCTCATTCACGAAGCCGGTCTATAAGGGGGTAAGGTTTTTGCCTATAAAATGGCAGCTTAATGGGTGTCCACTCTCACCTACCGCTTCCTTGACTGGTGGAGGGTCGTTAGCCGAACGGGTAGGATAGGACCTTAATCCTCATTAAAAGTATAATGAAATTATAAAGTAACTAAACCTTTATTAATTCCCATTCTTAGTTACTTTAGGAAAATCTGAATTAGGTGCTAACCCATGAAATTACACTTTGTACCTTACAAAGTTGTTAGTGGAGCGTGTGTGGTTAACCGGCACACTAACAAGGACTAGTAAGAGTGGCAAAGGGTAATTTGATTTTATCATAGATCGGTGGAGGGCGTGTGGTTAACCGGCACATCGATTAGGTGATAAAGTTGAGGATACCAAGTCAATTTGCATGGTTATTCACACCTTGTTTGTGATCCTCGGCATCCCAGTCAAAAACTTGAGAGGGCACAATCGAGATTCAAACATGCCATTGAAAAGTTCAATGTATCTCAAAAGATCTAGGAGTTTCAAATCCAAATTAAAAAACTTAATAATCTTTTCGTTTTATGGTGGAAATTGGTAAATCGTCATTTACCTACCTTCGACTATTTTATAACTTGGATTACGGCATCCCTCTTCCAGTTATAAATAGGTTGTTGATATTTCATTTGGGTGACTTATTAAGGACTCTTTATCTAATAAAACTTGTCTTTCTTTCTTTCAGATGTCTTCCAACACTGCTACTAGCTCAAACCCTACAGGCTCCTTTTCCCTAATGAACTTGTGTGGAAAAGTCACTTTTGATGGTTCCAATTTCAATGAATGGATTAGGAACATCAGAATGATTACTCGCTATGAGGGGAAGGAGTATGTCCTTGACAAAGAACTGAAGGTTGTTAATGAGTCGACTGCTACTCCTGAGGAGGTTGCTGAGTACATTACTCATGAGAAAGATGCCACTAAGGTGTCTTGCATCATGTTGGCCACAATGACAGCAGAACTCTAGAAATCCTATGAAGATTTCTACCCTTTTGAGATGCACCAGCTGCTGATGGATAGGTACCATCAGAGTGCTCGTCAGGAGAGGTATGAAATCATTTCCTCCATGATAACAACTAGGATGAAGGAGGGAGAATCCCTCACCGGTCACTTGCAGAAAATGCAAAGGTTCGTGGACCGATTATTGAAGCTTAATGTGGACTTCCCTGAGGACATGGCGATTGACATCATTCTCCATTCCTTACCTCCAAGTTATGATCAGTTTTGCATGACTTATCATATGAACAAGGAGGAAGTCACACACAACAAGCTTCAAGGACTTTTAAGGACCGCTGAAATTGGGCTTAAAAGTACATCAGTTGTTACTCCTACTCCTACTACTGCCCCTGTTCTGGCAATTGGGCGAGGAAAAGGGAAGAAGAGGAAGACCCCTTCGAAGGGTACCAAGGGAAAGCCCCTTGATGGCTCCTCTTCAAGTGGAACCAAGAAAGGTTCCATTCCTCCTTCTTCAAACTCTAAAGAAGCACAATGCTTCTACTGCCAGGAAAAGGGGCAGTGGAAGCGAAGCTGCCCCAAATACTTGCAGGATGTAAGGGATGGGAAAGTTAAACCCACCTATGCAGGTATTTATACTATATTGTCTAATAACTCATCGCGTTCTAACTCTTGGGTACTTGATACTGGTTGTGGTATTCACATTTGTACTGATTTGCAGGGCCTAAGAAGAAGTGAAGAAGTGGAGCACGGGAAGATAAACTTAATCATGGGAAATAGGAAAGCATCACATGTGACCAAGATTGGAGTTTATTATTTATTGCTTAATAATGGGTTAACTTTAGATTTGAATAAATGTTGTTATTCGTCAGAAATGGCGAGAAATATTATTTCCTTTCATAGTTTGTACAAGCAAGGATTCACATTTTCATTTGATAATAAAATTGGTGCTATTGATGCTTTTTATAATGATGTGTTTTATTTTAAAGAATTACCTTGTGATGGTGTATATGAAGCTGTGAATGTTGTAGATAATCTAGGAAATAATGTAATGTGTAGTGTCGTGAATTTTCAAATAGTCTAGATAAAGCATCCTTGTGGCGTTGTCATCTTGGACATGTTAACAAGAAGCGCATAGGCCAACTCCAAAAGGCTGGAGTTTTGGAATCATTTGACCTAAAGTCGGATGATAGTTGCGAGTCTTGTTTAATTGGAAAAATGAAAAAGTCACCCTTCACTGGTTCATGTGAGAGGGGTGAAGGTTTGTTGGACCTCATACACACAGATGTGTATGGACCCTTCAAAACCGCCACTAGGGATGCTAATCGCTACTATGTGACTTTTACTGATGATTATAGTAGATATGGATATATCTACTTAATCAAGAATAAGTCAGAAACCTTTGAAAAATTCAAAGAGTTCAAGCAGGAAACCCTAATCCTTAGATGCCAGGTTGGACGCGAGTTTTAAGTGATCTACTCGGCGAGTCCGCGCCTGGACTCGACGAGTAGGCCAGTCTGGAGGAAACCCTAATCCTTAGGGTTTGTACCCTATTTAAACGTCCTTATAGCCCCCATCCCAACCTCCAGCACCCTTAGAGCGTTTCCCCCCTCAAAACCCTAGCCTCCATTGGTGAGTTTGAGTGATTCCTTCTTGATTTTGAGTGTTTTGGTGCATTCTTGGAAGTGTAGAAGAGAAGGAAAGAGAGAAGGTGCAAAGGAGAAGAAGGAGATCCAGAAGCTAGCTTCCATTTGCTACTTCATAAAGCCTCTACCTTGTTCATTTTCCTAGTAGATCTTCATATATGCTTGTTTTGCTACTTTTGGGACATTTCAAGGTCCAAACTCGAGATTGGAGCTCCCTTACGGTAGTGAGCTATAGATCTGGACATCATTGAGCCCCAAGAGCTCAAAGTAACGACCTTTATGCAAAGCAAGGCCTTGTTCCAAACCCTAGGTTCCCATTTCTAGCTTATTTTGGTGTTTTAGCTCCATACCTCTATGCATGCAAGTAAAGTTGGCAACTTTACGTGTTATATCGGCCGTAGAAGCTCAGATCTATGAATTGGATGCACTGGAATCGATTAGAATCAACTGTTTAGTGAGGACATGCATAGGACTCGACGAGTTGTTCTTGGACTCGGCGAGTCGGAGCGCAAACTCTTGATTTCTCCGATTTTAGAGTTGTGAGTTGAATCAGGGAGTGGAAGAGGACTCAGTGAGTTAGAACAAGGATCTGGAAGTAGAGGGACTCGGCGAGTCTACGTCCCGACTCGGCGAGTTGAGTCGCGAGTTAGAGAAGTGTGAGTCCGGGAACTCGGCGAGTTCATAGTAGGACTCGGCGAGTAGAGTCAACCAGGAAGTTGACTTTGACCAGGGGTAAATAGTCATTTTACCCTGAAAACAGTTATCAGTATCTGATTTAGTGTTTATGGGATTGTAGCCGGGGAGTTCCGGAGCAGCAGTCAGCCAGTTTCAGATTTAGCATCTCAGTAGCCAGCGTTACGAGGTGAGTTTCCTTCCAGTAGGAACGGGTCTACGACCACAATGCCGGCCCGTTTAGTTGGCAGTAGTTCCGGACTTCGGTCTGATGCAATAGTTCAGTGTGTTTGATGTCTTTGTGATTCAAGCATGTCTTGTGTTATGTGTTCCTGACTTCGGTCTGATGCAGTATGCAATATATGTGTTTATGCTAGTAGTTATGATTATGCTATGCTATGTTCAGTCAGTTCCGGACTTCGGTCCGATGCAGAGGGCAAGACCCTGGTTAGTTCCGGACTTCGGTCCGATGCAGTTTTAGGACTTCGGTCCGATGCAGAGGGCAAGACCCTGGTTAGTCCCGGGCTTCGGTCCGATGCAGTTTCCGGACTTCGGTCCGATGCAGAGGGCAAGACCCTGGTTAGTCCCGGACTTCGGTCTGATGCAGTTTCCGGACTTCGGTCCGATGCAGTGGGCAAGGCCCAGTAGTTGCTTTATATATTGTATGGTATGTGGTAGTTTGGATTTGGGGGAGCTCACTAAGCTTTGTGCTTACAGTTTCAGTTTTTGGTTTCAGGTACTTCCGCAAGTAAGGGGAAGAGCTCGGGATGATGACATGACACACACCACAACTTCAGTTTATCCTGGGAGTTTTATTCGGATATTTTGATATGTTTTGACACCAGTTGATTTGATAAATTTATTATGACATTTTGAGACGCCATGAATTTATCTTTTAATATTTGATATTATGGTTTAATAAAGTTTTCAAACGAAAATTTTTGAGTTGTAATTTTGGGACGTTACACCCAAAATAATCGTAGACGTGGTGAGAGCGCCAAACATATGTTTTGAAATTGGAATCTCACTCTCCAGTCTTCCCACGCACACACAAACACACGCTTGTGGAGGCGTTGTCCATGAGTTGCTCGGCCATGGTCGATGGATCATCGTAGAGCTTTGATGGCATCCGCTTTCAACTTCAATTAGTCTCAGCTCGTGGCCGCATTCTGTGTAATATATGCAACAGAAATGCCTGTGAAATCCGTCCATGGACAGCAGGGAGGAGGATAACCTTCCGGCAGACCACAACCATGATTCCAATCTCTACCGTTCATTTAACGCAAGCACGTCTTCTTCTTCATCTTCCTTCAACTCTTCTCCCCCTGACTTCCTCCGTAATGTACAAGCCGCCTTCAAGCGCCATCGTAATCTCTCTCTCTCTCTCTCTCTCTCTCTCTCTCTCGCTTGCTATTTCTCTTTGATTTTATAGTTTCAGTTCAAATCTTAGTTATTCGCTTCTCACGAGATTATGAAATTAGGGTTTTGTTTTACCCATGTCCAAATTTCGAGGGCTTCAGCAGCTGGTCTAATTTATTAGTAAAAATTAGGGTTTCTTTTGACTTAATTTAGAGATAGAGGACTCACTTCTCTTCCTTCAGTTGCTTGGCTGATACATCAATTCAGGGTTACCTAGTGGCTGGAAATTTTCAACGGGTCACCAACCTAGGGTTTTCAGTGTCATCTATCCGAATACTCTTTATTGGTTTATGTTGGAAATTTTATTTGCAGATCCCTCAACTTAGGGTTTTCTTCACATTGCAGGTATGATGCCTCGGATGAACTTGAACAACTTCCAACCTAGACGATTAGTGGCTCATCGACAGGAAACATCAAATAGCTCAAGCCCAATACTAGATTCCAAAACGGATGAATCTCATCATGTTTCAGCAAAACCATTGGCCAAGAATATGATGACTCTTACCACTTATAATCATGAATCCGCTTCAGTCACACCGCCTTCGATTTCAGGCACACCTACTGAAGAAGGGAAGTTTAAATCAATTGATGCTCAGAGATGTCAACCTAGTATTAACTGTGACTGTAAAAACAGAAATTCTTTTGATTTGCCATGCTTACAATGCAAACAAGTTGTACCAGTTGATGCTCCAAAGAAGGTTCAGTTTGCATTGGAAAATGATGCAAGATCTCATATGGGTTCACTTGCATTGACAGAAATGGAATGTGACACAAATAATCAACTAAATGCCCCAGCTGTTCTCAATCATGATCCAAATCTCCAGAATGTTCATAATTTGGATTCTGATCTTACTTCAAGGCCTAATGATGAAAGAAACTTCCTACAAAGTGACTTTGGACACCACATGACTTCATCTTCAAACCTTGGCTCAACTTGTTGTGCCACAACACTAGTGAATTCAGTACATGCTCCCATGGTTAATTCAACAACACACAGTTGTCCTGAAAACAAATGTGAGCTTCCTAGAAATCAGCAAGGTAAAGAAACAGGGTCTTCTTCTTCTAGCATGCTTAAAGATCCTCCTCCTGTTTCTGACAAGTCAACCAAGGGGGACCCACTTTCAGTTGATGCTATTGATTTAAAGAATGATGTGAAATCAGCATCTTTGAAGTCTGGAAAGCAGGAAAAGCCTGCTTCAAAGAAAGATTCTTCAGCACCTCGTAAGCGAAATTATGATCCGGATTTGTTTTTTAAGGTTAATGGAAAACTCTATCAAAGGCTTGGAAAGATAGGCAGTGGAGGAAGTAGTGAGGTCCATAAAGTAATTTCTCAAGATTGTACAATCTATGCATTGAAAAAGATAAAGCTTAAAGGTCGTGACTATGCAACTGCATATGGGTTCTGTCAGGAAATTGAATATTTAAACAAACTCAAAGGAAAAGACCATATTATCCAACTCATTGATTATGAGGTACGTGGTTTTATTGTAGCATCACTTCCAGACACAAGGGGTAAAATTGTCATTTACTCTCATTAGTCTTGACTGCTTCTAACATTCATCTTCTTCTTAGGTGACAGATAAGGCTTTGCTGAAGGAAGTGATGAGTGGTTGTATGAGCAATAAAGATGGAAGAGTGAAGGAAGATGGGTGTATATACATGGTACTTGAATATGGTGAAATAGATTTAGCTCACATGCTCTCACACAAATGGAGGGAACTTGACACTTCCAGCTCCACCATTGATGAGAACTGGCTTCGTTTTTACTGGCAGGTTTCTATCAATACCTTCAATCCCTCATTTTTCCAGTTTTTACCTTTTTCAATATCTATAAATGAATAAAAGTACATTGGTATTTGCATTTGCAGCAAATACTTTTAGCTGTTAAAACCATTCATGAGGAACGAATTGTGCACTCAGACTTGAAGCCAGCCAACTTTCTCCTTGTGAGAGGCTCCCTCAAACTTATAGATTTTGGTATTGCAAAAGCTATTTTAAGTGACACCACAAACATTCAACGCGATTCTCAGGTTACTCAATCATCTCTCTTTCTTTTTTACTTAATTAGTCCAGTAAACTAAATATGACGGACATTAACCCTGTTTTTATGTATATCTTTTTTTTTTTTTTAAAGGTGGGGACACTGAGTTACATGTCCCCTGAAGCATTCATGTGCAATGAAACAGATGCAAATGGGAACACCATAAAATGCGGTAGACCCTCAGACATTTGGTCACTCGGATGTATACTTTACCAAATGGTATATGGAAAAACACCATTTGCTGATTACACAACTTTTTGGGCAAAATTCAAAGTCATAACCGATCCAAATCATGAAATCCATTACCAACCACCTCCCCCAAATCCATGGCTTCTTGACCTAATCAAGAAGTGCCTCGCGTGGGACCGCAAACAAAGATGGACTATCCCTCAACTCCTTCAACACCCTTTCCTTGTCCCCCCGATTCCGGTTCCGGTGTCCGACCGGAATCTTATTCAGTTGGTTTCCGATTCCTGTCGCGAAGATCGGAATGCGATGTTGATGTGTTCGAGGCTTCAAGAATTGGTGACTGATCCGATCGGTTTGGGATCGGTTGATGAAAAATGTAAGTTGCTTGATGAAATGTCGAGGCTTTGTATTCAATTGAAGGAGTTGTTAGGTAAACCGGAATCTAATTAGTTGATATGTATGTAAAAGTATGTATTTTTGTGTTGATTTTGTATTAAGAAACAATTGATATTTTAGGTTTGTGATAAAAAGTTTTCTCAAAAAAAAACATATATATATATATATATATATATATATATATATATATATATATATATATATATATATGAATTTGAATTATGATAATACATACTCTATGACATATCTAAAGTTTCAATGAGAAGTGCGACTTTTTTCCGAAGAAGTGCGAGTTGATCTTGCATTATTAAAAACTCATTCCTCATAATCCTTTCGGCATCTTGAATGATTGCCTCATTTACACCTTCTTGCAATAGTCGTGCTCTTAGCTTTTCTGTAGACACTGTTGTAACACTGGTTATAGGGTTCAACAATTCGCTGTTAGACATTCGTGGGAACATCCGCTTCACTGCCTTTAAAGCTTCCATCCATTCCATTTGATCTTCCCGTGTGTGCGCTTTCAAGTGCATCCCTTTTGTTCCCGTAAATATTGAAAATCGTCTATCATCCGATCTACTTTCACAAATAGATGATACCTACACAAAAAATACACAAGGGAACAGTATAAGTATCTTATTGTTATGTATATAAAAATATTTGGCTGTTATGTATCTACAAATAAGTTTAAATAAAGCCAAGAATGGTTTTATAATCCCAATAAAACCACATGTGCACGCTAGTGAAGTGAGCTATACGTGCTCGAAACTATGTCGTTTTGAGAGGTATAACCAATTCTACACCTTAATTTTTGTACATAACAACCAAAAGTTGAATTTTTCGACAAAAGAATGAATATATGATCAAATGCATCATGCAAATCCACACAATCATGCAATGGAATGGATAAAATATGATACAACCTTGAGATGAAGTTCACCAAGCGGCTTGCGGTGGTGAGGATGATTAACATGGCGGGGATTGTGATTATGAGTACCAATGATCCGGCATTCTTTATCGGCTTCTTTGGTGGCAATGGGGCTATGAATCTTGTAGTAGGAAAGCACACCATCTTGTAACACAAACCATCTTGGTCGCCAACGTTTCCCACAGTTTATCCATTTAAGCAATATCCCTGCCACCCTTGTGCCTACCGTTGGATTTGCTGGTGGCTCTGCAACATGAGGATGAACATGGTGGTTGTTGATGGCGGAAGAAGGAGGAGGAGGCATGGTTTGTGGCGGGGACATGACAATGGCAATGGTGGATGGATCATGGATGTTGGTTGGCCGGAGAGAGAATAGAAAGAGAAATGGTGTGCGGTTATTTAGGCGAAGTAACAGTTAATCTTAAGGATAAGGATAGGTAATATCCACTATCGCCATTAATGTATTTCTCATATTTATTCGTGGTCCTAAACCAATCTTTAATTTTCTCCTTCCTCGTTAATAGTTTTAAAAAATTATCTATGATCTATGCAATCTTAAAATATAATTATAACAAAAATATTATTTATATTTTTAATTTTTAAAATATATATTATATATATATATATATATATATATTCAATTGAAGCTTTGAAAATTTTAAAAAGATGAATATATAGTGAAGATTATACAAATAAAAGTAATTTATATATTTTTTTTCATTATATTCCCCAAAAGCAATGTGAATCATGTACACAACAACCACAAGAAGCCCAATGCTAAGACTCAAACACTTGTGGGGGCATCTACCAAAAACACAAATAACATGCAGTGAATTTCATTGGTTGAGTTTAATAAAACTCGAATGTACAAGTAGATAGGGATAAAAGAGTCATTTTATGGTATGATTACGACCAATGAGTTGATAACAAAGATGAAGGATAATATATGATCAGCAATCAATATTTTTGACATTTGTGTATTCTCATTATCTTTATGAAATGAGATGGAACTTGGAAGCATAACAATATTGATCCTATTATCTAATTGTCTTTACTCAAAGCAGCTGCCAATTTCGTTTGGATGTGGTCGACTGCAGCACGAGGAGAAAATCTAGGAATTATTTCCTGCAACACCACAAACTTTATCAACCACAAATTTCTAATACTGATACAAAATTAAACCAAAATCCAACTTCATTTTCTTCATCTATGAGTTGCAACCTACAATGTGTCTGATACACTGTTTGTGTATCAATGTCAAATCTGTTCTAATCACAAGCTAAAGTTGTTCATGATCTGATTATGCTATTCCTACCCTGATTTGCCTAAAGTTGTTAGCATTATCTTTGGTATCATCTTAAACTACTAATCTTCTTCATATATCAGTGCAAATATATCCATGGATCCTTTTGAAGAACCTGTTTTAATAGGAAACCCTTATATGCGTTTAATTAAAACATAAACGACTACTTGTAATCGAAGATATATCAATTCAGAAGGTGGGGTATCTTTGTATTTAATTAGGGCACAAATTGACTAACCTCGGTGCCATCAGAACGGAGTCTTGCCAAGACCGGGATCTCATACTGATATGCTCTTTCCCATTCAGGATTGCTAGTTATATCCCTAATCTGATACACCATCATAAGTGGTAAGACGTAGATTAAGGATTATTGAAACGACAATCATGGGGGATTAGAGAGAAAGAGGTATGGTACCTACCTGCAACTCGACGTCATGGAGGGAGTAGGAATCAGGTGAAGGAGAAGAAAGAGAGAAGGCGGAATGAAGCTTTTCTTTGAGGCCATCGCACAAACAGCAGCCAGGCTTGGAGTAAAGTATCAGCTGCTTTCTTGATGCGGATTCGGAGGAGGAAGAGTAACTGCAGGAGGT